TATATATATATATATATATATATATTTATATACATATATATATTATTTTATATATAATAAATATATTATATATATATATATATATATATATATATATTTATCTATTTATATATATACTTCTTGCTCTAGATCAGGCATCGGCAACCCCCGGTCCGCGGGCCAAAATTGGCCCGCGGACAATAATTTTTGAACGGCCAGATGAATCTGAGAATTTGATTTTAAAAAGATGAAAAAAGGAAAGAACAAAGGTTTTAAATTATTTAGCTAATACACTAAAGATTTTCAATACAGAATTTCCTAATAGACAACTAACTGTGTCGCCGACATATACAGTCAGTTGCTGGGAAAAATTTTGGCCCGCGGTCATACCTACTTGCAGATGGCTGCTCTAGATGTTCATGTAGGTAGATATCATTTTTGCTAGTGATGGTAGTACTGACAATGTGATATGATGATGTGTGTTCAATTAAGAAGGAAAGTAAATCATTTAGGTCAGTCTATTTTCATTCGTTCAGATCAGAAAGGCTGAATTGAGTTGATAACAGGTAACGAGGTATTTGCTACTGCTGCATTCTTATACGATATCATAACGACATAGACTAAAAAATGAACAATTTTCAGCTAGAGCAAGCTGGTGCGTCAAGGTGGCGTCTGAAAGAGGAACTGCCGGCAGCCATATTCACGACTGGTCAGACCGGTACGTTAACATCAACCGATAAACAGCAGCATTCTATGAAAACGTCATCTCAGCTCCAACTCACCTCATCAAGTGTATGTCAAGGATGTATAGAAATCAAGAAGTAACTAAACTTTCAATTGCTGTTCATTGAAATTCTATAAATATTACATTTGTCAATTAAGTTCCTCTAGCAATTCCTCGACACATCATGGGTGGTCGTTATTCACAATAGTTATTTTCCGGGTGTGCGCGTCTATATGATATTATTCATTTGTGTGAACAAAATACATCTGTTCGATACCGTGTGAATGGGAGTTCAAATGAATGACCGTGTGAACATTAGAATAGGAAAGTCGAGGAGTACCATTCGGATTTATATTGTTCATGACATTATTTCTCAAAGCATCATAACTCATTTCAGCATATCCAACATTTATCCAACTGTTCACATGTTAATCATGCAGTGAGGATATAGATAGATGAAAGTCAGATGATGGTCACAAACAAAATTACATCGGTTGACTTTCGACAAAATGTTTAGCAATCCTCCTTCAGCTGAGTGTGCAACCAATGCAAAGTGGCATAGTTTCGAGTTGAAACTTCAAAAAAAATGGTAGAGCAATATTTGTTGAGAATAAGCAGATTTATTTTTAGTTAGTTGTAAGAATAATGAGTAACTAAAAACAGAAAAAAGCTTTTTGAGTGAATGAAGCTACATGAGGAGCTATTTGAGTGAATGCATTTTGTGTTGCGTTCTTTAGTTTATTGAAGAGTGATTATGAAAAAAGAATAGCAAGTTGCAGCATAGTGGTGTTGTGATAGGTTATTGTCGTCGTATGCATGTTATGTTGATATAGAATGTTCGTAGTAGGTCGTTGGATGAGTTTAGCATTATGTTGGCTGTGTTGTAAACGTTAGCTGCAAGAATTAATTTATGAAACTGGCTGGCACGTATGTGGTACGATGAATGTTAGTTCGTTTCTTGCTTGCCACTAGCAGCTTTCATCCGTTTCATTTAAACTATTTCCATCTGAAGCGAGAGTATGCATAAGCGCTCGCTTCATACTTAATCAACAACATCTAACAAAACGTCATTCATGCTTTGAACACAAACAACATTGCGAATACATAAATATGTGCGCATATATACGATTGAACTGATTCTCTCTCGAATTGCTGACAGCCGATATGCAACAATTAAGCAAGCGTCTGCCTCGTTCTCATATTCTGCAATGACAACATATGCATATATTATGCAAATGCAAACGTAAACGCAACGTCTGTCTGTGAGATGTGTGTATATTGCACGAATAATGAAACTGAACACAACTCGATCGATCCCTCGCTTCGAAGAAATCATTCGAATGCATTTTACACACCATCTCGCCGCTTTTAACCTCACGCAGCTCTTATGAACGAGTCAGCGAGCAGTTTGCATTCACATTGCTTTTGCACACTGAGGGCTAAATTTATTACGTTAGTGCAGAAAAAATAAATTGTAAGTAATATTTAGTGCGAAATAAATAAAACCATCAATCATCATCATCACACAATTTTATTGAGTATGCAAATAGAAATTTGAAACGATTGCAAGCAACGTGTTGAGAAATTTGTGATGTGTAACGAATGAACGAGAATGGGATAGTGTTGAGAAGATAAATTGACAAGTCTAATAATATGTGCGTTGAACTGATCAAGTGCAATAAATTCAATGAATAATCGTTTGATGGTGTGTTGTAGAGAAGTGGACGAAATGAAGCAGCACTTCGAACGGAATATTCAAGCGTTAATGTCTCAGATGTGTTCGGTGAATGCCAACGAAACATCACCATTATCGAGCAGTCGAGTAACTCCATCGCTACCTCGCAAGCATACAGCTGCTTCGACGCCTGAATGTCCCGTTGCACTCAGACCTATGCCTACATGTGCGTTTACATTCCATGTGTTAATGTTGTTGCATTGACGGATGAAATGTTTATCAGTAAAGAGTTATTTGTAGAAGAACAGTTCAGGTGAGGTATATACAAATAAAGAAGAAGAAATAATTTAAGGTACCGTTCCATCTCCATTCGTTCACTGGAATCCTTGGCTGCTGTCGTCAGCCGTACCGCCAACAAGTCCTACTGTTCCATCGTTGTCACTTCCAGATTCATTGCACTTAGATTCTTCATCGAAACAATGGAGTTCACCGAGCAGTGTCGAGAGNTGATCCTTGATAAAATATATCTACATATGCAGCCTACAGCCTAGTTTTCAACAATTTGGTTGTCAAATTTTAGTCAGACTGAATTATTGTAAATAACATTACCTACCAATTTAGTATTTAAAGGTATTGTAAATGTTGTTTGAATGCATAAAGAGTGCTGAATCAAACGAACAGCATCAATCAAATTCCTTTTTATGTTCAACGATTCATGTAATAAATTCAGTAGTGCGATTTTAGGCGAATTGTCGCATGTCGATCCAGTTGGGCTGGAAGGAAGTGAATCGTCATCAGTATCCTCAGCAGCAAGTACAAGAATCATGGTTGCTAGCCCTGAGGTAGATATCTTTCTTAGTGTTTTTAAAGCAGTGATGTGAAAACTCAGTTTACGAAGTAAAATTTGAATCATAACTCGAAACGTATGAAGCGAATTTTTTACGAGAATCAAAATTCGTGATTATAATTGTGAACACTACTGATCAATTAAATAAATGAATTGTCATTTGATATATGTATGTGTGATATGAATTTAAGCGAACAACACCAGCGAGCTTGATAAATAATGCAACTTCGAAATTTGATCCAATTTCATCGACGTTGAACAATCCGACGTTATTATTTCAACATCATCTTTTACAGCAGTTACTTGCTGCAAATGCTCAAAATACTGCTTCTTCGCATTTAGCTCAACAACATACTTTAAGACAACATTCGAATGATCTAACCCAACAACAACACCTTGTTACAAGCACCGTTGATAAAGCGGTTTGTTCGATACTTATTCATTATTTCAACTCATTCCTAGTTCTTTAATTACGTTGATTGTCCCGTTAGTACGAGTTCATGGAAATCACCGCTTAACTGTGCATTAGTGTTATTGGCATTTGCATGCTTTTCTTTTAGCCACTGTGTGATTAATGACCGACCGTCGATTTTCACTACCAAAGCTCACAAATTTCATTCTAGTGAAATTAGTTATCGAATTTTCAGGTGTCCAGCAACCAATTCATACCCCCTTTGGAGACACTGATGAATCAAACTCAAAATCAGCAGCACTTCAGTCATCAACAACAACGACTTGTTCAGCAGTTATTCTCAAATGTACAAAATCAACAGCCATCAACATTAGTTCATCATCATCATCATCCCCAACAAAAACAAACAACACCTTCAGTCATATCGAATGAACGAAAGGTTCTTACCATTTATCCTTTCAGAATTCGAATCAAATTCAACTTTTAACAATTATGTTCAAGAAACGAAAGCGTTTTATGCAGCTTATTGCTAGTCGCAACATGTATCTGTTGTTTGCTATCTGATTTATATCAGATTCCTTTTTAGAAGCCGGTATCGGATGATTTTGTGAAATCGATTCGTCAAAAGGGGGTTAGCAAAAGCAGTGTTTTAAATATCAAAATCCCGGTGCCACAAGCGTACGTATGTGATCCAGGTACTTTCTAGCTCATTCATTAACCAAACATATTTATGTTCTATCACTTACAATTAGATCAAGAGAATAGCCTCGAAATGTCGCTATGTACTTGGTTCGATATATCGTATTCTATAATGAATTCGAACGTGTTATCCTTCAATTTCATTCGTATCATATGACATATAATATCACCTAAATGTTAACTCAGCTGTTCATATAGATTTTGTACCGGTCAGTGAAGAGCAAATTATACAGCAGTTCCATCAGAATCGTCGTTGTGATGATGACATAAGGAAAGCGATGACATTTCTATCGAAAATGCTTGCTGAAAAACGAGTATTTGGTACGAAATTAATGGCACAAACAACTGTGGCTGGTCCTAATCATTCCACCTATAAAAATCTACCTGAAGAAGGGATCCATTACATCGCTTGTGAGTTGTTGGTATCGTTGTGTTTTGAATGACAGTCGAGCGCGCACCAATCATTCAGTTAACAGTTGTGATGAATCAGCTCGTTTTCAACATAAAATATCCATTTAAGTGTTCATCTGATCTTTTAGATTCATTGAAGGCCACAAATTAAATTAAATTCTCGAGTTGACTTTTAATACTTTCATTCGTCCTGATAATGAAACTTTACAGATGTTTGCCGTAACGTAATGCTTCATCGTATTCCGAACGAGAATGAATTCTGGGAGGTATTTCGTGATGTGACACGTAAATTGGCAGCTAGATGCCGACGTGTACGTCATTCAAAGAAGACCAGGTGTGAGGCCGCGAACGAACAATCCAACACAACAGTTCGTATTCGCGACTGTAATGCTAGTTGTATTGATAATCAGCATCACCGTCTCACTTCTGAGTCTATTCGAAATGCCTCACATACACATCTTTCTAATTCACCACCATTCAAATCTGCTGGAATCGGTGTTGTAGCGGCACCATGATTTATTGTGCTATATCCTCTTCCGTTTCTTATGTTCGTCTTCCAATCTACTTCAATCTTACTATTGTGGTTGTTATATTTGTTCATTGCTTGTTTCAACCACCACCACTATTGCAGACTTTCCGTTAATTTTTCTTGTTTAGATGAGCAGTGCTTATTTACCACATACTAAATCAGTGGGTTTTTATAGCGATTAATAAGTAAACGGAACAACAAGTTCATTCATTTCAAGTTTCAACGTTATCATAAATGAGTTTTTGTCGTTCAACGAAAAATCAGTGAATATTTAGTTATTCGAAATGGTCTCTTGAAATGATTAAAATCGAACAAACAACCAGAATATGAAGAGAATTAAGGAACACCTTGTAATGTAATACCTATTCATACCTACATCTCTTGAATATTCCATCTACTTTGTAAATAGATAATCCTAGTTGGTCTTTCAGTGCGAGTTGAACAAGTTTAATGTTCATCGTTTTTGATATGTCTTTCTTTCTGCCAATTTCTCTGTCTTTCAACGAATGAATGTCTTTCATCACATGCTTCTTTCCAATAATTAATCACCTGGTTTATGAGTAAATTCGGTGTTCTCATTGATTTTTACGTAATGCATGAAACTAATTCGCGAAAGATTGTTATTTCATGTTTTCGTTGTGCAGTTTTGTTTGTGCAAATCAGATTATGGCTTTCTTTTTTTNTTTTTTTCGATTATCGTCGAAGATTCAACATCTTAGGTTATTTGAAGCTACCTTCTACCTTTGTGCTTATCATTTATTTTCTACCTTGAATGGTAAGGTTAATCGTGCTTTTTGTTCCCTTAAAAACATGCCATTTAAAAGTGAATTCAACATTAGGCTTGTTTTTTCGTGAACTTACTAACCCTCAATCATATATGTAGGTTAATTGTTCTCATATTTTCTTCCACTTTCGAGAAACTTCGTTATTGCTAGTTTTTTTCTTGTTGTGTTGATCAATCAGTCTCGTCGTGTTCTACTCCAATATATTATATGATATATTTTGTCCAAATTCAATATGTTCGTGTTCGTTGACTTCTTTTGAAGGAACTGATCATGATCGTTTTTGGTGTCATTGCTGATTATTTACTGCTGTGTTCATTCACTGAAATTTCGTCATATGTATACCTCAGGTGTTTTTTAAGTTTCAATTCGTTGTTGTTTTGAATTTTCTTTTTCGCTCCAGTTCTCAGGAAACTGCTGTTTTGCATACTCAGGAATTATTTGTTTGTTTTACCCGTCATTTTGTCTATTGTTACATTTTACGCTATTATTGATCTATCTGTCTTATCAGTATTTCTATTTAATGTTTTTCTCTCAGGGATTACGACCATTTTGTTATTATTGTTATTATTATTATTATTGTTATTATTATTATTATTATTATTACATCATTTAAGCTTTCATCAGTCTGGAAAGAAAGAAAAACTCAGGTGTCGCTTTTTCACAAGTGTCCAAAAATTATCATTGCATTGTATTCAGGGATCAGTTATTTGTTCGCTGTTCGTTATTTGTTTATTTGTTTATTATTATGAACGATTTGTTTCGCATTTTCTCATTTTTGTATCAGATAACGCTTCCTGTATGCAGGTGAGGCAAGCACTGTGGAACAAAGCGCGAATGAGTGACCATTCTTTCGAGGAAAGTAATTTGCTGTAATTGTTTGTGAATGATTCGATAATTTTTAATTGATAACACGAATTCGAATATGATCATGCCAAATGTTTCGTATGATATCATTCATCATGCAAACTTCTCTGTGAAGAAATATCATACGTTCACATTGAACAACCCAATTTTTGGCTTACCAAAGGAATTTTTTTCTCAAGTTAATGCTGCTGCTTTTCATCCTCCTGCAATCATGAAGCGTTATCTGTATGCATTTATTTATGTTTCATGTTATGTTTTACTTCTTTATATACATAGTAATATGTAACATTTTGATATAATCATATAGAAATGAACTAACTGAGTTTGTTTATCATAATTCAATACGTGCAAAACTGGCACTGAATGTGTATTTCTTAAGATATCTATAAGTCTTTTATTAAATCCAGTTAATCGCCGATTTATTTCATGTAGTTTGTTAGCAGTGTCGAATTATTTATTGTACATCAAGCTACCGTTTTTTCTTGATCAAAAGTCAAATGAGTTGTAATTTTCCTCATTTCATTTTTTNGAGGGAGGAGGGCGGAAAGAGAGGGAGGCGATCTTTTGAGGCAGAGAATTCATTGAGTTGAGGAAATAAGTTGTACATCATTCAGTCTATAAAAGGCTGCTCACAGCACTTTCGCTAACTCAAATATGATATCAAATTCAGAAGATGATTAATGCAGTATTCAGTCAGTTTCGTACGGCGTTGCTGCATCCTACTTGTACCTATGTCTCTTACACCATAATGCAACCTCACAAATAAAATTTGTTACGTACTGATGAACCTCTGTACAGCATACCGTGCATGCTCTATTGATGGTCACTGATCGAAATTTGGTCGCTAGAATCGGGGGAATTTTTCCGGACTCCAGTGAAGTTTGGTCGAGATACCGAATTTGGAATTTTAAAAAATAAGCGTTATTTAATCGCCCGCTACGTACAATGACGCACATCTGTCCATGTATGCAAGCAATATCTCTCGAAAAGAACAGACAATGTTCACGTGTCGATGGACAATATAAACTAAAACGTGAGTGCCTATTCTGGAGTGTTATCCATCGCGCTGCCTACAGCCACTCTCATAGCCTACAATACAACTTTTGAACGCAGGAAGCGACACGATTGATGGATATGTGATGAGTTGCATCACTGAAATTGCGATCTAATGATGGATGACTTCTGACGCGATCTCTTGGTTGATGTGCGAAAATCCATGTTTACAAAATTAATTCATATTTACATCTTCGTTATTCTGGTAAGTGTCCACTTGGTGGTGTGCAAAGTCATTCAATTCCGTCAACTGGAAAAGTATCGATGAAAATACGCTCGACTGAAAAACTGTCTTAAGGATGACTGAAAAAGTGTCATGAAATTACGATCTGTGAGATGCAGTTGAGGCACTGACAGTTCAAGATGCTTGAAGTAATCGGGGAATGCGGTGAGTGCGGACTGGCCAGCAGCTTCATCCTGAGTCCTCGGCAGGTGTTCGGAATGAATAACTCGCCATTTGGTGTTGGAGAAATTTTGCCCACTCTTTATCAATTTGGGCAATTGTCAACACATTTTATTACAAATAGTTCTTTCCTCACCATCAGTATACACAGAAACAAAAAAGACCCATCCGTATCGCTTGATCGTTACGCTATCATTTGAGAAAAAAAATCCAAAAAAAAATCTGATAATAACAAATATTCGTTTGGATATGAAAGTGCGATTTTTGGGTCGTTTATTATGCTGCATTAAACTTAAACGTGCTACAAGCAAGGGCCATGAAAACAAAAATTAAAGCATACAAATGAAGGTGAAAAAATGAAAAACTACAAAAAAAAAACGTATAAGGAATGCAACGATGGAAACATATGAATAAAAACAATGGTAGATGAGTGCCTATAATGAAAACACACTAATAAAACTGAAAAATGAAAGAACAACGCAGGGATAATCGCAACAAAAGAAATAAAACAGTAAAAACTAACTGTACCGTTTGAAAAAAAAAAACAAAAAAACAATGATTCAAGAAAACCATCAAAATGATCGTCTTAATGCAGGGCTCTGATTCGTAAGGATGCTTTGTTACAGAAGTTAAAAGAAAGAATCACGACATTCGTAATTACTGATTAGTTAAATCTGAATGAATGGTACATTTGGTTTTATATAGGGTTTGTTCTAAGTATGGATGATATGTCGGTGCAGGCGCATCGCAGCCAATTTTTAACAGAACATAATCACGTCCTCTCTGACATTCTGGTCCACACATCCGAGAACCACACTTTTTACATGGAAAATGGCAGCCTAAAATATTTAGAGTAATATACATAGCACAATGACAAGGAAATAACAGGGCAAAATATGAATTAGAATGTACCGTGGAAAAAGAAACTTACCAGGACAAGAAGGTTTCAAACAGTCACATAGTTTGACGGTTGATCCATCAGGTTTGACAAAGTTACCAAACTCATCGTGATGTGGCGTGTAACACGTATTATTCGAATCTGAATGAATGAATGGATAGTTGAAGAGAACGTTGTTATTCTACCATTGAAATTATTGCTTTGAATCATAACTAAAAAATCTGCAATACACAGAGAAGGGTAACTAAATTCGCTGGTGATTAGGATTTTGATATCTTTGATTAAGTTCACGATTTATAAAATTTACGGTCCCGACGACGAGTGGATCTTCGTCGACCATCAGTGCTGGACGATGAGTAGATTAAAGATGAAGATGGCAATGCAACCGCGTTTCCGGGGTGATCAAAATCGAGTGCACGCAATTCTCGATTCAGTGCAGTCATTTTAACTAAACCTGAAAATGATAAATAAGTCATGAGTGTAACTAAGAATGCCTGTTCAAAAAAACAATCATTCAAGTGCGTCTTCCAACATCCTATCGAAGATTTCATGGTTGAAAGTATACTTACCGTTCTCACGTTCTTTTATTCAAGTATGAGTTACTTATGATCAGCTTTTCATTACACCAACCGATCATTAGTTTCCTGACCAATCTTTCTAAAAAAAACCCCCAAAACAATAACTCTGAAACAGACGACGGAAACTTAGATCACTGCTTCCCAACCTTTTATCACCCGCCCATCTGGAATAAAAAATCGGCCAAATCATTCCTTCCCTTCCAAATTTAGCAATATTTAATAGTCACTTTCAGGACTGACGGGAAAACTGCAATGATTCAAAAAAATTATTCTGGTTCGGCAAAATCGTCCCCTACGCGTCGTTTCTGTCCATTGGTTAGCGACATCGGTTTAAGTTTCACTTATTCATAATGAATTTTATCATCAAAAGGAGAACCACAGTTTGATCGCGATTCAATCAACAACTACGAGAGAGTGAAGCCATCATATTGCACAATAAGTTTTAGTTTCCAATGACCTCTTCCTCAGCGAATTCACATCGATTCGTAGATGCTATTTATTCAAAGCTGGAAGGTGCACAGAAAATTCTGACGAGCACAACAAAATAGCGAACTAAACATACCATCGCTAGCCGTGCTGACACCACTGCTATCACTGCCGGAAATGCTACTGCTCGTACTCTCTTGAGAATTTTGATTTTCTGAATCTGAACCCATTCCTGCATTAGTGGACAGTTGGTTCTCTGAAGTTTTCTTTCGGCTCTTGCGACCATAACCAGGTGGATGGCCTTGAGGTTCCAATCCTGCGTAATCCATTAATGCCGCTGCCTCATCCATATTAAACAGTCACTTATCTACTAGTAGTTTTGTTAGCTTGCGTGCAATCCTCTGACAGTTGAATAATTTTGACTGCTAGATCTTAATACCGCTTAGCTGCAATTCTAAATTTTGATTCAGAAAATCTTTCATTGTAGCTTTCACAATATCATTACTGAAGTGTTTAATAACAATTATTAAAGAAGATATAAACACACACAGATGACAATTTCAACTGAACAATCTCAATGAACACGATTTCTTTGAACATATTTATGAAAGAAACATTGGGCATACATAACTCAAAAGCAAATTTCTGCTCGCACGTAAACTGACACAAACCTCGGTTGATTGTACCCAACAAAAATCACATACCCACCTGGATTGATGCAAGCTTAAGTATCGAGAATAAATACAATACAACTATACTATACACTGGCAACCATCAATGTAAAGAGGCTATTGAAAAATCAATCGAGCATCACAACATCGCAATAATGATTCATTGAGAACAGAAATGTGGCGCGACACTTCAAAAACGATATTTAACAACATGTATAAATAAATACGTAAGGAAGTGAGTGAATATTAGGTAAATATGTTAAAATAATGAATCAGTGAGGAAATAATAATTACACTAACAACAACGGAATTGACAATAGTAATAATAACGACCACAACAAATGATGAAACGAATATGTTAAAAAATTATGCCATTTAATGAGTAAACCTATTGTTCAACAAATTATGCGAAATAAAAGTGAAAAAAAGTTCAACATCCGCGAAAAAATACAGAACAAAACCCAGGAGGATTAATGACGACTACATCTTGAGTAATATAAATTATCATTTAAACTGATCGAATGAATTATTCGATTAAAACAATAATTATAAACGCATTTCACGACAATCTGATGTGTCCATGTACAGGGCTGAATGGCTGAATGAAACTGCTTTTACACAAACAATATGAACGACGAAAAAACACATCAAAGACAACAAAAGATGAGAACAAAAAGAAAACTCAGTCCGGTTGATTCATTGTCAATAAATGTGGGCAAATTATCAACGTTAATGAGGAAAATGCGAATATCTCCCAATGAAACTTGAATGAATCTTAGAAAAAATTCTATAATCGTTAAATATATGGAATAAGTCAACCAATAATTCGACTTTCTTAGAATATACTTTTGTTGAAGCAGTGAAATACGTAATGTTGAAAAAAATTTTGAACGCTCATCGCTCACAGTTCGATGAAAAACTTCAACGAATAAGAGTGAAAGTTTCATGAAGTTTAATTATTACAGAATTGATTCCACACTGAGCTTTCTCAATACAATGATTTGGTCATCGTACCTTATGGAAGGCATTTAACAAAATTATCATGATTTTCAAAAACAGTTAAGACTTCGCAGAGAGAAAATTACAATTAAAGTGTTATTCAGTGGTTTTTGAATCGATCTGCAAAGCACATTCATACGAACAAAAAGAAGATGGATGAACAAATATAGGTGGTTATAGGAATGTTATACACATTAAACATATACCATCAAACTGATAGAATATAATTAGGTATTGTATCGCTCTTTCATTACTGGAGACCACTGGAAGGTACATATAAGTAAATATATGCTTAGAAAATTATTTGCAAACTGATTGAATCCAACGATTCATCCATGTTATCTCTTATTATCACATGAATATTCTGCATTAGATTATGTTAATGAACTGTATAATGCACTGGGCAAAACATAAAGACAATAGCAATAATTAAAATAAAAGATGGAATATATAATTATCAAAAGAATGAATGAATACTCGAGGACACTTCTCACTCAAAAAGCACACTTTGATTAGGATGAAAAATGAACAAATTCAAAAGTTGTGCAAAATGAAAATTTTGTGAAAAACAGAAAGAATAATAAGGATAATTACAAATGAACGAATAAAACAGCTACTGCTACAACAAAAAGTGAATTGGTGGAGGAGTGCAGCGCACAGTTTATCCATATGTGCTGATTAGTTCACAAAACTGAAAATTTAACAAAAAAAAAACGCGTATTTCAGAACAAAGATAAGTGCACTGATTATGCCAACGTTTGACGCTTATTAAATGAAATAATGATTTTTTTAAACAGTTAAATGAACGAAATTCTTAAATATTCGTCGACTCATATTGCGAACACGCAAAATTCTGTTGAGAAGATTCAAGTAGATTAAGCATGATGATCAATAGCGAAGAACCAAGTGCTTCGAGTATCAAGTTGTGTAAAAGTGGGAAAGCTTACTACGGAACGATCACATGATATCATCCAAACGTATTTTTCACTAGTGAAATTACCTTGACTGTCAAAAAAAGGACCCAATAACAATCTAAAAATTTACGATGAAACGAAAGGAACGTTAGAAAGTGCCCCACCAGTATAAACATCCTTCCAGTTAAAATTTTATTTACTTTTTCACTAACTTCATTGGTTTCAACGTGATATTTCTTCATTTGAATGTGTTTGCAATGGCATAATCCATAGCACAAACGAATTAATTATTTAACTGCAAAATACTAACTGATTCAAAAAGAAAATAATGTTGCTTAATTGACACAATCTCTCAAGACGCCATTCGATAAAAGAACCGATTTTAGTTCGTCATTGACTGATTGCAAGATTGTTGCGAGTTGCGACTGCAAACGCAAACGAACTTCGGAGAACGATGCTCGATCCAATTCACGAATACGCTCACATAACTTTAACACCAAATCAACCACCTCAACTTCATGTCGTTCCGACAACATACCCGCACTAAAATCAGCGTTGCACAATACCTGAAGTTAACATTTCATTCGAATTTTACCGATTTCATTATGAACGTAGACGATGATCATTAAAAAACCACGATTCGAACGCACCTCCAAATGAGTGGCACGAAGTTGACGATCCACATCTTTTTGCCTACAGCGTAACCAACCTTCGAAATTTGCTGATGAAATGAACTTCCGATAGAGACCTGAAGAAGAAGAATTTTAAAAAAAAAAGAAGGCCACTCTAGGTTATTACGATGAAAAAAAAAACTTTTGCCACACATGAGACAATGCTTTTGTTTCCATTGCTTTCCTGCTGCTTTTTTATTGCTTTGTTTATATGAGACAATGCTTATCTGCTCCGGAAATCGATTTCAATACCTACTACATGATGAAATTGGCTCATATTTATGAAACCCATTTTGAACATAAGTCAATTTTTAAGCTGCTCAAGTGCGAATGTGCAAAAAGACCTAATCGGCTGCGTTCACCTCCACTGGCGTCAAAAATTTTTACGTGAAGCTGCTACATATGAGGAGTTATTGGCGGTTCTAGCAAAATATAAATTTGCGCAAATGGTAATTAAACGCATTCGTTTCTTTTAAGTTATTTAATTGGGCCGTTTCACTTAAAATGAAGCACTAATAAAATAAAAACATTATCTTGAAAGATACTCACCGATCCAATCACCTTTTACTCCACATGTCAATGAGGGATCTGCGTCATCCAAGCCTGAGAGGAAGTCATTCGGTGTGAATGGTTTTATCTGTGGAACAGCCTGAAAGTTGTTAACTTGAGTAATCTGGCATAAATCTGTTAAAGAATGAAGAGAGAAATATGAATGACTGGAGAGCATTAAGATCATGAGTGTTTGAGGTAAAGAAAAGAAGACAATAGAAAAGGTGTTCACTTTGAATGGTGACATGTCCTTCCTGAGAGGTAATAATGACGAAAGATACCGCTCCAAAGGCATCATAAAACTTTGCGTTAAATCAACCATATAACGACGTAATATGGCACTTTGTACAGAATCGGGCCGTTCATTTTTTCGTAATTTCTTCATCAATGATTTGTCACGACTAAGAAGTCGTCTGTACTGAGTGTACAAACCAGGCTTAGTGTCCAACGTTCGACCATCCCACATTCTTCTAAAAACCAAAAAAAAAAAATTCTTCAAATGAACCACCAAAGACAAGTCTTCGTTTGAATTCCCACCTATGTTGCAAAGAAAAGAAACAAATGAATCCTTTGTTTCTAGTACAACGACATCATTGGTTTGCGTCGAAAGGAAAATTTTGCTTTAAAATTGCTCCCCGACGGATCTCCTCTTGACGATTTCATTCCCCAAATTTTTGTTTGGAGCCCCCCCACCCAGACCAACACGTTGCTCTTCGACAAACAATATTTGAAACCATATTATAACATGCACAATCATACTAACTCCACTCAACGAATAGAGCGCAGTAATCAATTCTTAAGTTGAATAATAAAGTGAAATGAACCATTTGTTAGCTATTCATATTTCGTCGGCTCATCTCATTCGCAATATTAATCGTAAGACGCCAACCCACTACCAATATTAACTACTTCTAGAAAACCAGTCAAAAACAAAACTGTTCGAAGTGAAAGCACAAGATACCGAGATGATATTTTGCATTCAAAAAGGCAAATGAATAAAACGTCTGTGAGACCTTCTATCTACCTGTAAGTCCTTTCTGCGCTCACCACATTTCTAGTATTTGCATCAACTACACGTACAATATGCGGCCAATGTTGGAGTGTCTTTGTGAAGAACGGATTCGTTACTCCAAGGATCACACTGGGTCTGAAACGTATATGAAACAGTGGGTATCTATTCGGCTATCAGTTGTGGACTTATTTGAACATGAAAACAAAATATGGATCAGTAGAGCTTTTTAGTAGATCAGTTCGCTGAAATATTAGCACTTTTTTGTGTCATGTCATTGATGCTAGAAACATCATTCGCTATTAATTTCGCAAATAAAATCCATACAGAATTTTTCTAATGCAAAAACCCCTATGTGCATGAGGTTAAGAAGTCTAATTTGTAAAATAAATGATGAATTTTTCAGCTTCACAATTTGCATCAATCCATTTGTTTGTCTAGTAATAACAACATTAAGAAAAGAGATTTCGAGGGAACAAAAAGTACTAACGGTGGATGTGCTTTTGAAGTGTATTCTTTGAACTCAGAATCATGTATTGTGAAAAATGGCCGATAATCATTGAAATATCTGAAACAACAGCAGAATACGACAGCAGAAAACAAAAGCGTAGAAGAAAATAAGAACTAAGTTAGACTCGTTTAAATGAAGACGGTTGGGGTAATCTTGTAGTTAACGTGTACTTTTATAAACATATTAATTGCAAGATTGGAAATTAATAACAAGAAAGATTTTGATGGTGTTGGAAACGATTATAATACATCGTTTTCGTTGAAACAAAAGATCGAAAAATAATCTTCGCTTGATATCCATATCGCATAAAAATCAAAAAGGAATCAAATTCCGCATAGACAGTTTCAAAGATACAACAAGGTATGCCGGTCGACCAAATCAAAATGACGAAAACAAACCTCAAAGGCCAAATAAGTGAAATCAAGGATTGTACGAGAGATGAGCATACAGATGGACCGGGAGCAATTACAACGATCGGCTGCAATGGGGAAAATCGATCGACTGATTTTGAACAGAAAGTTCAAGAACATATAAAAGGCATTTGTCTGCCTTGGTTTTATCCTAATCCACTTGATTAAGCTCACTCGGATGAAGCCAAAACTTATTTAGACACATCGAATGCAGGTAAAAATTTGTCTAAATAATTCAATAATAAGATGATCTGGGAGAGCTTGGTTTCTTAAACAATTTGAAACTGAACTTAGGACAACTCTGGAAAGGATTAATTTTGTCGAATGCTTAAGCCAATTTCGATTTCAAGACTATGGAAGCAGACTACTACCTTAAAAGAAACTCAACGTTAATAACAAGCGATGAATAGATATCAAAATTCATCTGAAATTTTAATGGAATGAAAATAGCAAAAAGTATAACAACTCACTTCATTCGTTAGTACCAACTCCCATAGAAGCTGGACATGGTTCAAGACACAGAAAAGATTTCTGAAAACGAAACAAATAACAGTTTGCCGATCAAACTCAAATTGATTTGCAGTACAACAATCACAGTTATTGATCGTTTATGCTCAAAACTTCAACGTTTCTGAAAACTGAAGTATGAAACTGTGTGCTCTACCTGTATTATAAGAAATGTTTATACGCATATAGCTGGATCAATACAATTGTCGGACGCATGACCACGGAAAATTTAAATCTGCATTTCCATATAACTGTTACAATAAATTAGCACTACTTAAACGTCTACGCATTCCTCATAAGCAGCACGTTTGATGCTGCCTACAGACTTTTAGCGCAATGAATGAATAATTTCAAAAACGCTCAAAGAGAAATAAGAATGATGAAAATAAATGGAGGAAGGAATAGATGATATAAGAAAACGTACGTGAAGAGATTCACCTCATTAACCGGTGACAATATCACTGGAGCATATTGCGAGGATGTTTTCTGAAGCGATTTTCATCATTATTCTTATTATCACTACTCATAACAGAAACAATCTTACTACTTTTGCTTTACTCTGGCAACTTATCATCTGAATGAATTGGTGAATCTTTTGGTCAAGTAAACTTTTTCTGAAAATAATCTATCACCAAAAATAAATCGAATAATTAAAGCTATAGTAATGCTTCTTCATTCATGAAAAGTAGAATAAATGGTATATCATCAAGATATGAGAGTTGAATTGAAGGAAACAAACAAAAGAGCAATAAGGCATCAATCGTATCCAACAATGAACTAATCACTTTAACGCCTAAAAGTAGAGGAGGTTGTGTGAGAGGAATATCAGTTCGACACGGTATACGACACTGAATAACGGTACCCATTAACGGTAGCATTAATGATTCACCAGGGGCTGGTGACGGCCACTGATCGATATGATGACAAGCTGAACACGAATCGCTTGGTGACATAAATGACGATTAAGAATGTTTTGAGATGAAATAAGAAATTTATGAATAAGGTGAGGCAAGAAATATCTCAACTGGAAAAAGTAAATGACTAAAAAACCAAAAAAGCAAAACAACCTGCTTCTATGGCGGGTTCACCGGATTCAAAAAAACCATTCGCTATAGAATCAACAACGTACGTAAAGAGATTAAAGAGAGGAAGTAAAGTTATTAAAACCAGGCTCTGCAATTATTAACTTCATTTAGGTAGAGGCAGATCAGATTATTGGATCCATGGATGAGCGTATTTCTTCACAACTTGAATGAATTCAAAGTTTGTTCTACAAGCACTTCATTGCTTCAACAGACATTCCCAATTTTATTCCGATTGGTTCATTTCATTTCTCAATATAACGGTTTCCTTATGTGGGCAAAAAATATCAATAGGGTTAAATATATATCACACAACCGAAATTATCACATATAAATATCTAAAAAAATAAACGAATATCCTAGTCGAAACATTAAGAGCTGCATGCGAACTACTAAACGAAGAACAAAATTGGTCAGGGATTTGGAGAACTTCCGAAGGTTATCGGAGTTCCGAAATATTGTTGAAAACTCGTGGGGTTTAATGAGTAACAAAATAAGGTACGATTTCATAGAATTCAAAGAAAAATACCTTCTGAAAATAACCGCGAGGCAACGTTTCATCTCTCTGCTGCCTTAAACAAATTTGTTTATGGCACGAATAGAATTCAACAAAACAATTCTTTTATGATGACCTACTTATACGAACAGGTTGAACTGAATGCCAAATGTGATAATCAAAAATGATGAAAATAAACAATAACCTGAAATGAACAAAACCATAAAAAAACAATGGATCTATTTCAGCACACATCGGTACACGTTCACTGTAGGCAATTTGAGAGACATTCAAGTAATCCGATGACCGTTTTATTCGAAAATGAAAATTTGTATCACGCGAACAACCGCTATTCGAATCTGGGAATGCCAAATAGCAAATATTCATTTTTTCGTTGGAGGATAATTGTGCATCACCCGGATAAACTACCTGAAATCGGTCTGACGTTGTTCGAGCGTTTTCCAATTATTGAAAACCCAAAAACATCTTAAACGTTTCTGTACACGATTGAAGGCACAAAGATAGAAATAGGGACACTTTTGCTGATAACCGGCGCCACTGCGCTTGAATAATAATAATAACGATAACAATGACGACCAGGATAACAGTAACGGCACTAATAATAATCATAACAATGATAATGTTGCTCACCTCCAACGCTTGTCCCACTTCTAAATCAAAAGTTACAACACAAATACAGTGAACCCAACGACTGAAACGATCCCACGGAGGAACTTCACCTGTTTCGTCCATTTATGCTGCAATGAAAATAAGTAAAGTCACATATAATCGATGCTACCACACCCTCATCGGTCATAGAACTCCGATAATCACAGCTGATTGTGTTAGCAGTCACTAGGCGAATAGTAGATCAACGAGACAAGGGTGTGGTCTGCCACACACTGAGCACGCGGTAGCCATTACATGCATGAAGACACTGTGCCACAGCTCTCTGCACATATTAACAACTGCTTTCTCGAACAAGCAGAAGTATTTCAACTGGAATTAATTCAGTTTGAGTAAATAAGCATGCTTGCACCTAATTGTGATCCATGCAACGAGAAATAAAACAATTATAAACACCAAACAACAGCTGGGTGTACTTTGGATTCATATTACGATTATAATCAATTCACCTGAGTTGAAGAATAGATCAATTGCAAATTTATACTCAAATGAAACAAATTCACACTCAAAACTGAACAGTATTGACCTATTGTGCAATAGAGCTCAAATGCACACTGATACCAACCGGAATGAATCCATGCTTGATAACATTGACCGTTTGCTTGAATATGGTGATCCTGATATTACTACACTTTTGTATACATCGATCAATACACATACGATGTATTGGAATGAGCCACTCAGCTACTAACTCGTTGATGGCGTTCTTGTGAAATGGCTTAAGAAAATCGTTGACATTGCTCATAATAAATAAAATCGTCCGAGAACACACATAAACGACTCCAAACTCTTAAAAACTTATGAAATCCGACGATATTTTGATTGATATAATTTAAAATTTGATCAATACATCAATATCATTCTCAGTGAAGTCTACTGCAAATCTCGCGTCTTTCCTCATTCCCATAAGTCTAATGACTTCTTGGTCTAGGTATGAGCTTGCAAATGTTGTCTGAAACCCATTCTCAAAATTACAGGTGAGACTTGGCATCATTATAAGGAACGTAATTGTGATCAGTTAGGAAAGATCCTTATTACAATCGCTCTTCATAAACTCAAACCAACGAGGATAATTCAAAATACTTTATCTCTTGAAGGGATCACATCAGTGAAATACACGAAATTTGAGGCGATTAACAATGAGCAGATGTATCGCTTCTTGTCGATACTGAAGGAAACATCCAATCCGATCATCTCGACAATCAAATATATGAATCGTTTATTGTCAGTGACTCGAACTGGGCCAACGCGATATGTGATAATATGATATAACACAATGAACCGGTGTTTGTAAAATCCCGACTTTTTCAATCCCGGGACTGGAAGATGACTATAAACGAATGATAAAACAATGATGATGGCGAACAATAAAGCGAGAGCGATGACATCACGAAAATTTTGTTGGCTGTTTTCTGAAATGGAAATCTGAAGTGGTGCTAACGCAANCAATAAAGCGAGAGCGATGACATCACGAAAATTTTGTTGGCTGTTTTCTGAAATGGAAATCTGAAGTGGTGCTAACGCAAAGTTATTTATGCATCGTTGCTCTTTTGGGTAGTAGACAACAAATATTACTGAATTGGGAATGACTGATGTCTTATTCGAGATAAGTATGTTACCAGAATTATACAGAACTTTTTTTCACAACGTAAATCTCGAGATCAGGATTGAAATGTGGAAATCCCATGACCCCATAGTGTGAACACAGCAAACACTTTGTAATATTCGTTTTAAGAAAATTAATTCAAAGAATCAAAGAATGCAGTGGCATCCATGCTTTATGATAAGAGATCAAAGAACAGTCCTATTGCAAAACATTTTCTTTCACTTTAGCATATTTTATTTCAATTTATGCCATTTTTTCACAGCATCCCACCTTATCATTCACCATAACACATGAGCACAACGAAACAAAATGATAATACGTTTTTATTACTCGACACATAACACGGTGCAATTACTGATGGAATCACTATATACGGCATTCACGTGAATGATTAATCAGTCAGTACCGAAATATTTAGTTGTAAAATGATAAGGTATGCAATCATTTATATCACCAGTCAAGATCGATATTGATGGGAAACGACTCATAATTCTCTTGATACCTATAAAAAAGTGAACGCATTCATTTCTGACATCGAAATTTTATGACGGTTCCGAACGAATCAATGAAAAAAGCATTCAAACATTTGCATTCACACGAAGGAAGTACTGTGCACACTCAGAGAAGCAATACAGATTTGTTCTATCTGATATGTTCACCTCTACGGTACGTGAAAGAAGAGATACACGTATTATCAAGGGAAAACCATACGCATATTGAAAACCTCTAAAGAACAATCAGTTGCAGAACAACAATGCCACCGTAAACTTTTAATTCAGCTTTTCTAGCGAAAATTTATATCGAAGATCACAACGATTCAAAGCCAAATAAACGCTCTCAAAAACTAAAAAAAGAAAGAAGTACGCATTGAGACAAGAGGATAACTAACTGTTGGGTGTAGAGAATAATGTCAGCAGAAGTATATTCTCTTCATATACATTGTTGTCAACAAGAACTGATACCGCTTTGATTGCAGTACNAATAATGTCAGCAGAAGTATATTCTCTTCATATACATTGTTGTCAACAAGAACTGATACCGCTTTGATTGCAGTACGACCCGTACCTACAAGTGAACACATTGATGCAAAAAATTTTCACTTGGAAAAAAACCGCCTTCAATTACTGAAATTGTTCAATTATGGTTTCAGAATGAGCAAACTGGTGGTAAGTCAGCAACTGACCATAAGGGATAACAAAAATAAATCAAACATTTTACAATTGCATACTTAAAAGAGGATAAAGTAAGAGAACACGCCGTTTCGTGATATCAGGCATTAACCTTGCATATAATAACCTCGTATCTTCGGCCAACAACATTTTTCCAATACGTATCGATCTGAAAACAGCAATTCCTGATGACAATCATATTCAACATAGTATAATCACAACTGCTCTGACTAACATTACTGTGTTTCGCAATTGAAAGAAACGTTTAAACTATCGACGAATAAAGCGAAATGGAATGTTAGCGGAATACAATAACATAAAATGACTTAAAACCTTCAAAGAGTGAAAATTTAAAACCTGCAACACTGTCTGAGAGCATGCTCCATAGCTTCACCACTCCGACTTATTGATACACCACAATTGCCACGTACAAATGCAATACCTTCATACTGATGGCGTGTTGGTGTTTCAACCATTACATCTATATATGGCAGACGATTCAGACCTTCTTCGATAACCAACCGCATTAAACGATCCGCATAAAAAACAAAATCCGAATGATCTGTTTCCCTTAAATCTCAAAGTTTAGTCTAACTTCACTGTTTTTTATTGATATTATTAATCTATCATCACTATTACTGTTAATGTATTATTACTATTACCATCAGTTAGACGAGAGAAGTCATACTTAGATTAAAATGAATAAAAATAAGTAAATATATATGATGAAGAGAAGTGGCAAATCAAAGACCAAATTTTGGGCGAAATGCATTGCAAAATCGGATGAAAGAATATCATCAACCGAAGAGAAGAATACTTACGATGAATCGTGTTTACTCAGCAATAATTCAGTACAATTCCTGAGAAAAGGCATTCAAAAGAATTAGGTGAGTTCAACTTACTGAATCGATGAACTTTCTAAGACAAAGAAGCACAGAGAGCAAATTAAGGTGAACACGTTAAGATGAATTCACTTATCAATTAAACCAACAAAAACAAACAGATGAGCAAGAGAATGAATAAATCCATTGCTTACTTATCCATAAGGATTGTTTGTAATTCAATTACTTGATCCGTTGCTTCCAATAAAAAGACATTGGGCGGTAATGTACGTCCATTATCCATCCGTTACCCGCAAGATTGAAATCGTCTTTGATGAAACGCTGAAAAAATCGCTGAAGAGCACCGATATAAAGCGGCGATGATGAGCTGATCGTATCAATTGTTGATCATTCTATAAACCGCTCTTTGCATTGAACTGGCGGAGAGAATAAAAATGTGAAAACATCTGATATGAACACATTTCACAAAACATTATTCTACAGAAGAATCCTTCGAAAAAACTTCATCATCATCATCTCTATACTCAGCGTAAATCACGAAATTTCGTTCTCACTGCTCGGGGGCACGCGGAGAACGTGCAACACCAAAAAAAAAATTGAACAATCTGGCCGTTTCGAAATTCAAGCAACGATTCAAAAATGATGATGATACAGAGCGTCGAGAATGTGCAGAAATCACCCAACTGCAATTTAGTCTCATCAGCTCGAGTCAAGCTCAGCCTCTGGTTTAGGCTCATTCTTGAGCTTATTTTCATCTCCAGGCTGAGACTCGGTTAAATTCACTCAGGTGATTTTTGCAGTTTGTCGCGGTCCTCTTTCTCGTACCGTTTTGGAGAGCATGGATCCATGGCATTAGTTCTTAACCTCCCCCCCCCCCCCCCCCCCTTCCTCCTCTAGAAAATTTTAAAACGTCCTCACAACAATATTTAAAACGTGCTCGCACTCCTCACAACACCACCCTGTATCTCTCACTCACTACAGCAAAGTGTCTGTAGTGTAGGTAAGTGCATGCTAGTGATGGGTTCCGAGCGAAATTTCGGTCGGTCGGGATCCGACCAAGTTGGCATTTCGTCATTCCGACAGTCCGAATTCCGGCCGAATTTCCAAATTGCTACCGGAACCACCGGATTTTTCCGACCGACTATCGGTCGGGTCCCATCACTAGTGCATACCGTCAGAGTGCGTTCTGGCCCTTTCAGAAATACATACGTTAAAGTCCATCCTCGCCTGCTTTATACACATGTATGCGTTGAACTGCGTCTTCGCCCACTTCAAAAATTAAAATCTTATCTCGCACCCCTTGGGGTACGAGACCACCGCTTGAGAAACCGAGAAATCTTGATCTATGTTGAAACCGGTAATCTTGCATTTAAGGTCAGTAAAATCAAAACAGCATTTCGTTCGTCCACATTCGCAGTTTTTACCGACCTATTCTACAATCACTGTTGCCCTGCATGCTACTGAATTCCCTTGCAGTGCTGTGCAAATATTCCTCTGCAGTGCTCTGAACTTACAAGTAAGTGTGAAAAACCCGGGAAATCCTTCTTGGAACCTTTTAAGCCTGTGGAAACAGCGTTGCGAACATTTCTTGTTGTGCCCTAACTACACCATAACTCAACTGCGAATGTGAACGAACGAAATGCTGTTTTGATTTTACTGACCTTAAATGCAAGATTACCTTGAAACGTTAACTGCAGACTTACTCATATGAGATATTGAGTCGTGAATGAACAATTTTATACGCACATGATATACCATCGTTTTCAATAGTGGCAATGAGGCTATGCGCAACTATCCGTAGAATTCAAACAAGTCTAGTCAAATACTCAAAGGGAACGATTTTTGCGACCACAACTGCTGGTGAAGGGGGGAGAGGATGTAAAAGTTAGCAGCTATCCGTCTGAGTATCTACTCAAATCGGTCTGACTTCCACAGATGGCCTCATTCGATTAATAGTGACTGAAAGGGTGACCGACAAATGCGTCTACGACAAGGTCTAACTCCGACAAAAATGATGAGACCCGCACATGCTACTCAATGATAAGGCACGAGCAAATTGTCGGAGTGGCACATTGTCGTAGAGTAAATCATCGTAGACCCGACTGAAAGCCTAAGCGTTTTCGCGTCAATCAATTGATTTTTTTTCACGGAGGAGTGCTAGCCGTTTCCACCAAATAAATAATGTCGAAGTTTCTACATTATTCATTTTATAGAAACGTTAGCACTCCTCCGTAAAACCTATAGTCGAAACTTCTGAACGAAAGTTCTCAGTTACTTGCGAATTGATTAATAAGATTAAAAGTGAAAAAAAACTACGAAGAAGATCATTCTCGCCCTCGAGGGACTGTCAATCATTGTCATTATCAGCAGTGTTTATCGGGTACTTTTGACGTTTGAAGTCCATATTTACTGTTTATCAATCAAAATTGAATCCATAAACGATGTAATGACGCATTCTTATAGTGTTTCCAATTGATAAATAAAAATGAGCTGTCATTCGTGCAAATAAATGCTTAAAACTGTTGGGATCTGTTATTATTAACATTATTACTACTGTTAATTTCCATTTCTAGAATTTTTCGATGGAAATCTCTGTCAATGATAGAAATCGTTCATTTTTTGATGAAAATCTCTTTCAAGAACTTACATTTATTGTTTTGTTATTTGAAAGTTTTTTTACATGAAAATTTAAAAGTTTTTTTTATACGTTAACACATGAAAGTTTTCAGAAGCAGTGAACATTTCATTTTAGCTAAGAAAAGGTGATATGCTGAATACCATAGACTAATAGTGAAAAACGCTGCGCGTAATATCAAAGACGAAGAGTATCATAGGTGTATAAATATATACTGCGAAACTTGAAGAAAAGTGAAAAAAAACCTGATTGCTTCATGAAATTATTCCTGTGCTTTTCAATCATGCAATAGCACGATATAGTTCACTTTGTGATGTACTCGTTTGTGTCGTTTTGCTTTTCAAGGTGAAAGGAATTTGTTTTTTTTTGTTTCAACTAACCGAGAGACATTTATTATCATTGTGAAGATGTGTCACCTCATTGCACTTATTTTTACGATACTGTACAATTTTTTACGATACTTTCTAACTATGATTATGAATTGTTCACATCGTCAGTCAGCAAAATTCATCGATTGAAGCAAACAATGCATTCTGCATTTGTATACTGGATTGAATTTACTTGTAACCAGAGGTTCAATCTCTCCAAACAAATAGGTCGTTAAATCCGTACTGAATACTGCAGTGATATTCAAAATCACCCTGCTAAATTCTCTTATAGAGTACTTTTAAATTCATTTCTCATTTTGTCTGTCTAATCGTTTATACTCAACAGTTATCTGTTTCAGCCATGTAGCCCATGCGAAACATCAATGTGTCTTGTTATATTCTGTGCTTTAAATTCGGTCGTCGACTTTGGAAGATTTGTTGAAACATTTATAATATAATGTGGTCTTTGAAAAGATGTCGCAATGAAGATGTTACGTTAGATAAAAAGTGATGTGTAATATTTGTTTATTGTAGCACAGACGTTGAGCAGCGATTTGCATATTCGAAGTTATGATTGCTTCAGATGTTCGTCGTCATCTTTGATTATATACTGACAGCAAGCGTCCAGAAGTCTGCCGTTGGATAGCATCAGTTAAAAAATACACAGTTTTCAGAAATTGGTATGTCGTTCCATTTGTGGTTCTTTCTCGTTTTTTTTGAGCCATATGATTGATTCTTTATATGTTGCTCATCTCTGTATGATTAGTATTATTATTATGTGCTTTTTATTAACATTTTAAGCATTTTTTGGTAATGGTTTTGTGCGTAAACACCTGATTGTTTCCTGCAACAATCTACAATACCGGTTGGATTATAACGAATAATTACTGTGGATATGTATCGTTTTCACCTAATTATCCTTTGTTGAGGTTCAAATAGATAATGGTTTCAAACCGGCGATTAATTGCTTGCTGAAAATGTCGTTGCGAGATTTTTCGTTCAGCCGTTTATGAATTTCTCGTATACAAATTTTATGAAGTTTCACTTTCGCTTGTGAGTACTCGGTCCACTCATGACGAAAGATGTGAATATGACCACATTCATTGAATGTTGTCGTTATTTTGCGTATTATTCAGTCATTTTTAAGAGCATTTTTTGATGTAGTGAGATTTCAGCATATTAACACAACTCTGCGTCGATTAACAAACAGCTTTATTATTCGGCATCGTTCGAGTCACTCTTCAGTTAACATCGCCACTTTGACTGATTAAATCGGTCAGGTAAACGTTCTTTCCCAATTTGAATGTTTCACTTCCTCTGAAACTGAATTTAGTTGTCATTCCTAATTGTCATCCAATTGAATCGTTTTGTTACGAAAGCTTTAACAAAAAGTATTGTTATGTCAGTATGATCTTTAACAACATTCTGACATTACAACAGTGAATTTTACTTTAGTATCATTTTGCGATGTTCATTAACATTCTCTTAAAGCATGCATTTCATGTCTGCTCATTGAACTGAAACATTTCTCACTAAACAATTTCAATGCAAATCACATCTATTTTATTCACAGTCAGCAAACAAAATTAGTGCTAGAATGCTTCAAAACTGACAAAATACTGTCAAAATTAAATGATATTTGAAGCAATACTTTTATATTATTAAGTTATTAGCAACCGTATACACAACATTCCTAGCAAGCGTAATTCCTAAAATCATTCATTCAGTCCACTTATTCTCTTCTGTTTTGCCTGTACACAATTTTGTGTTGATCATTCGTTTATTTCTACGTCTAAATAAGCGCACAACCGCACGCAGAAAGCTTTATCTTTATGATTGATGTATGTGTGTGTATAGTAGCACGATACTGTTTGTGTCAATTCACGCCATAATAAACGCATTGAATCACTTCACCTCATCTCTAATATAATGCTTATCTTTACTGTCATAAGCCATAACTCGTTGCACAAACCTTGTTGTTGAATTAATTCTGTGTGCATATAATTTATATACACTGATCTTGAAGCAGTTTATTTGAGGAGTCATGGTATGTCTATTTGAATGTTTGTTTTCGTTCATACAAGAAACACTGTAAATATTTAGAATGTTATGTCTATTGATATTAACACACGAATAGGGCTGATGAATGGATCAAAAGATTGGCATATACAGCACACAGTCGAACGAGATTAATAATTCCGTCAGTATATTAGTTAAATAATATTTTTCTGGTAACATAATTTTCGATTTGGAAACTCATTCAGCGTTTTCATGCAGTAACATCTTCACATACATCTTTTCTGTCATTCAAATCTATCTTCTTTTACCGAGTCTCTAAATCGTTCTTTAGAATGCAGTGATGGTGTTCAGATCACATTGATTTGGCAGTCGATCGTTAACCAAAACTGAAAGTAAAACTGATTTGATCAGTGACAAAAAGTGTAGTGAAATAGCAATAGGAGGGAAATAAGGTGAAAAGCAATGGGAAATGTGAACAATTCATGTTGTTGTTTTATAAATTCCTCCAGAATGTTAGCAAAAGCTCAGATGAAAATCATCATGCTAACAGCAAGTGGTAGATGTTTGATAGTGAAAATTAGTGTTTTGAAGTGGAGAAGAGGAGATAAGATTGGTGTAGTGGCAGACGAGAACGTACGATTGCTCGCAGAAAGCGACGTCGACAGCGATCAGGCGTGGGCCTCTTCCTCCGCTTCGTCGTCAAGTCGTCGCACCGACTCGTCGACGTCCGCTCGTTCAGCTGTTCATCCAGATAAAGCATCTCGTCAATGTGGGTCAACTTTCTCCTGATTATTTCGTGGCTTGTTTGTTTACTTGTATCATTTTGATTCATTCCCACCGAGTGTTATTATTATAGATTCAGGAAGCAATAGAAATTACAAAACAGTAACTAATCACACACAACAGCCAATGACGTCTCACAGTGAACACACTGCATGTGTAACTGTTGCTGATGAAACACTACAGATATGGGGCTATCGTGTTAATAAATTCAAAACGGTTACCGTTTTTATGTAGTTGTGATCGTCTATTATATTCATGTTTGTGATCTTCATCATCAGTTATTTACGAATTCATGAGTCACTTTATTCTCATCTAACGCCAAATAGTATCAAACAGTCCAGTCGTTCGTTTTTCACCAATAGAATGATATTCATTATTGTGCAGTATCTATTATTAAGAGCAAGTTTACAGAAGTAAAATGAATAAGCAGAAGAAGTGTTTTCAGGCCCTTACGTGGATTGGTACATTGCTAACGTTTGGTGCATTTCGTTTATTTCTTTATTGGTACCCGAAATTGTTCGTAAAATGTACAGCATCTCGTTGTGCCCTCAGCAATGCAGATAGAATATTTGTCAGGTTATTCTTAATAATAATATTGATTTCGTTATTGTCATCGTCATCTAATTACAAGTGATTCTTTTCCTTTGGTGGTAAATACTAAAGCAAATAAAATCACTCGAATTGTTCGATGAATTTCAGAGATGATCATCTGAATGTAACATTTCGCCCAATTCATACGTTGGTCAGCCAGCCAGATTCACAAGTGGCGTTACCGAGTAATGCATTCCATATGAGCGATGTTGATAAGTTGCGATATTTCACGTACAAAAAATTATCGTTTATATGGCATCCCACTGAGATGAAATTCATGAGTATTGAATCTATCGATAGTGATGTACGTTCCTTTCTTTTGTTATACCTCGTTCTTTCACCGCGAACGTTCAATTTTGCCTATTTATTTGTTATTTAGCAAACTTTATTGTTGTTATTGTCGTTTTCACCAAGACAATTTTGAATTCGAGGTTTAAGAAGAGTGATATGATCACGAACCGAGACAGTTTCATTCAGTAAACGCTTTAAAAGTGTCAGTATATTTTTTGTTTTCATATTTGATCGTTCACTTCTTGTGGCAAAACATTCACATCTTGGGATATCATTCAGATGGCTTTATCATGTTTTCACGAAGTCGCTGAAAGTGGTCTCTCAGATGCGGACGTCAAAAAACGTTTTTTGATATATGGTAAAAACGTCATTGAAGTTAAATTGAAACCAATCATCGTTTTACTATTCAAAGAAGCCATTTCACCGTTTTACATCTTCCAAATTTTCAGGTGAGTGATGGGATTTAGTCATTAATTTATTTACTCATTTATTTTTTATTCAGTAATCGTAATTACATAGTTTCTTGATTGTTCTATAAAAGCACTGAAACTAAGCATGATTTTAATGCATGTTTGCTACGATGATAGATGTATTTTAGTGTATCGGTTTGGTTCTCAGATGAATATGAAATCTATGCAAGTATAATTGTGATAATGTCCGTGATGTCAATAACACTCGATGTATACCAAACGCGAAAGCAAGAGATCAACCTGAGAAGTATGGTGAATTCTTGTGAGACAGTACAAGTGATTCGAGATGGTGGTCAGCTGAAAGTGATTAGCAGCGAACAGGTATTGGCGGCAGTTTATGAAATGTCATTCGCAATAGTAAGAGCTGTGCTTACGAAGTAGTGCTTACAGCTTGTCCCTGGAGATGTGATCGTTATTCCTTCGCATGGATGTACGATGCAGTGTGATGCGGTACTCATGAACGGCACGGTGATCGTCAATGAATCCATGCTCACTGGTGAATCTGTTCCAGTCACCAAAGTGAATATTTTTTATTTACCTTTTAAAAGCATATGAATTGTGCCTGCTGTTGCTGCTGCTATTTTGTCACGAGTTTATAGGTTGCATTACCAGAAGTCGACGACGAGACCGTAGTGTACTACTCAACCAAAGAACATTCACGTCATACGCTTTTTTGTGGAACGCAAGTCTTACAGACTAGATATTATAGCGGCAGATTAGTGAAGGTAAATTGTATCTCAGATTCATCATTTAGTTTGTTCACCATCTGATTCATTCCGTTTGAACGTTAATCACTACCAATTATATGTTCATTTATCTTCTCACTAAGTAAGAGTTTTGTGTGTTTCTGTAATCATTTACTCAGTTTCAACGTTTTTTTGGTTTTACGTTTACTTGATTGCTTTTCAGGCAGTTGTATTGCGTACAGCTTATTCAACACTAAAAGGACAGTTGGTACGCTCGATAATGTATCCGAAACCAGTAGATTTCCGCTTTACAAAAGATTTGTTCAAGTTCGTCGGCTTTTTGGCATGTATTGCTGCTTTCGGATTCATTTATACGATTGCGATCATGATAGCGCGTGGTTCAAATGTGAAGAAAATCCTTGTTCGATCACTTGATATTATCACCATTGTTGTGCCACCTGCTTTACCTGGTTGGTTCATTTATTACTGGAGTAATGAAAACATTGAGTATTGGTCGGTATGCGCCGTTTACATTAGATTCATTCAACATAGTTCAACGGACACTGATCTAATCTTGTGGAAAATGGCGGAATAATTCTCTAATTTACTTCATTTCTAGTCTGCTGAATGTGTTGATTTTACGGTTATTTCTAGTCAGTAATGGGAATGTTGCAAATTGAATAAAATGCATTGAACTAACAGATTTTTTGAATGCTGATACTGCTAATGCAGAAAAATTCGGTTTGAATAGTTCTTGAGGGAAAGCGGTTGGTAAACAGTTGAATCAGGTGCTCGTCCCTCAGTCTCATTAATGTGCTATACACGGCTAAGGTTCATAAACTTCAATGCAACAGTTCAGGATATTTTGTCGACGTGTCTCTTTATGTCACGTAAATGATGACTGGTTCTGGTATGAATGGTTAAAGGATCGGAGAGATCTGATTTCCTTGCATACCAGTCAATCATTTACTTTAGATAAGCGACTAGTTATTTCCTTTGCATTTCACTTTGCAATGTAACAATTGATGCGTAACGGTTTTCAGCCGCAATGAGTATCGGTATAATATCAGCGCAGATTCGTCTTCGTAAAAAACAAATCTTTTGCATCTCACCATCAACAATCAATACGTGCGGCGCCATAAACACCGTAATTATTCATCTATTCAGTGATATATCAATATTCATTCATTCACTCCCGCAGCGTTATTGACTGATGCATGAGTAGAATGAAGATCATGAAGAATTATCAGTGATGGGAGTGAATGGAAATGCGATATATTATTTTAAGGTCTGTTTCGATAAGACGGGCACACTCACCGAAGACGGACTCGATTTTCATTGTATGCGACCGGTACGAAACGCGGTTGATAATGCAAAGGGACCAAATTTTGATGGTGAATTCACGGCTTTCATATCAGATGAAATGTCTGCTTATGGGGAATTGATCAAAGCAATCTCCACGTGTCACAGTCTGACAAGGTTGGTTGGCCGTTTATTGTTCTATATTACTATGCTATTATTATTATTATTAACAGCTATGAATTCTAATTAACCACAAATACCAATTCGAATATGATTCCAGTTGTTTCAATTTCAGGATCCAGGGTGAGTTATGCGGTGATCCGCTAGATCTGATTTTATTCAAACATACTGGTTGGTCGATCGATGAAACAGTCGATAGCGGAGTGGACGAAACGGCTCGTTTTGATGTGATTCAACCGACCGTTGTTCGGAGTGTACCTGGACATTTTGGATTTCAAGATCAAGTTGAACTCGCAATTATAAGGCAATTCACATTTAGGTGCATTTTCGTTCTACTTTTTGATTCTTTCACTCAATTATTTCTCGATCTTATTTTTGCATTTACCATATTTATTCGATTTGAATAAAATGTTTTGAATAAAACATTTAAAACATTTACCATAATGTTTTGAATAAAATTTATTATTCAGTTCATCACTTCAAAGAATGACTGTCATTGTGCACAATCCAAATGAACAGTCCCATAGTATGACGCTGTATTGTAAAGGATCTCCTGAAATTATCGCTTCTTTGTGTCAACCTAAAACGATTCCTCATAATTATTCGGTTAGTAAAACTTCATTATTTCTCTTTCACTTCTGATTATTGTTGTTGATGAATAACGACTAATTATTGATTCCATGAGAAGGACCTATGCGGGCGGATTAATGATTGTGGAGGGATGTTGTATTATACAAGTGATTATTTAGAATCTCGTGAGTGATTATGCACAACATGGTTATCGTCTCATCGCTGTTGCGTATCGAAAACTCGAATTGAGTTTCGCAAAATCGCAGAAAGTTAGTCGAGAAGTGGTGAGTTGATTGATGGTATTCGTTTGTTGCTCTAATTGTATGATTCATTTCTCTTAAGAGCTTCTCAAATACTTTGCAATGTGTAAACAAATATTTGTAACGAATGCGTATTGTTGTTAAAAGATCGCCTCTGAAAAGTTATCGAAAAGAATTTCTATCTGTCAGTTAAGAGTCTCATCAAATTATTCAATAGGTGGAATGTGATCTTGAATTACTCGGTTTGATTGTGATGGAAAATCGACTGAAACGACAAACTGTTGGTGTTATTCATCAGTTGAATAAGTTAGTTGGTTTGATGTTGCGTTGCAAATTGGTTGTGATTGCTTTATTGTTTAATCTTAATCGGTTAAGAGCACATATTCGAACGGTGATGGTGACTGGTGATAATCTTTTGACTGCGTTGAGTGTTGCACGTGAGTGTGCTATCATACAACCAACAAAACGTGCATTCATTCTTGAGACTGAAACATCATCACTTCATAAGGATGGCTGCTGCAGTGATAAACGAACACCGTTGATCCTCAAACAGGTTGGTGACATTTCATTTATGTTATTACTCAGATCCATTCTTAATCTCTTCTCAACTGCTTTTTAGTCGGTGTCATCGTCTGAGGATGTCAACGATGATTGCTCATCAACAGTGGATGTCGAATCAGGTCATCTAGTTGACTCCACCTACCAACTGGCTGTCTCTGGTAAGTCTTCTCATCATTATGACGCTCTCAGATTTAGCATTCATCGTCACTCTTTATTGAGGGCCAACATTCGCAGTGGTTTGTCATGAGTATCCAGAGTTGGTGGATAAGCTGGTAACGGTATGCGATGTTTATGCACGTATGTCACCCGATCAGAAACAATTACTCGTCAATAAATTACAAGAGGTCGATTATACAGTGGCGATGTGTGGTGATGGAGCGAATGACTGTGCTGCACTCAAGGTATTTGTTTGTTCGTTAGAAGAGAAAGAAAGCATTCTTCGAATTAGATTACATTTACATTTCAAGGCTGCGCATGCGGGTATCTCTCTGTCAGAAGCTGAAGCATCAATCGCTGCACCGTTCACATCGAAAATTGCTGATATTCGATGCGTTCCAATGATTATTCGCGAAGGTACTCATTCAAACGTCCATCGAGCCATTCTTTCCATTCTTTCAATTTTTTATTTCTACATGTGAAATTGGTAATCTTGTAAATTTTTAAATACATCAACATTAATCAGTTATGATTACGTGTTAATAGCTAATTTTTATGCACGTTTCCCGCTTTTCTCAAAACGATTTTGTGCACTCATCATATGAATAAAGTGCAATTTTGTTCAAGGTCGAGCCGCTTTGGTAACGTCATTCGGAGTTTTCAAATACATGGCTGGATATTCACTGACCCAATTTATAACTATATTACATCTATACTGGTTGAGTACGAACCTAACTGACTTTCAAGTAAGCAACTTTGTGACGTTTTGTTTTTCGAAGATTTGCCTATAAGTTTTGTGAAATATACACTTGAATGTATGCAAAAAGTTGATTGTATTGTCTCAATAGATCATTTCTTGTCTCGTTCTTTCGTTGTCTTTCATAAGAATAGTAACTGTCGCGTTTATATTATTACTAATTGTAAGATGATAATTGTTGTTTTAGTTTCTTTTTATTGACATGGCGTTGGTGACACTGGTTGCACTATTTTTCGGTAATACACCGTCATGTCAGAAACTTTCCTCTCAAGCGCCTCCAACACGACTTCTATCACTTGCATCTGTTTTATCGATTGTTGGTCAACTCACCATTATAACCTCATTTCAGGTACTTTTTTACTTTTTCGTTTCACCCTGGGTTTATTCTTTTTTTTTTAAACTTGAAATTAATTGATATGAAAATGGATAGCATCGTCGATAAGCGCAAGTCAGTCGGTCAGTTGAATAAATAAACAACTTTAAGGTGTTCATATTTCTGTTCACAGCACTTCAACCGTGGTTTATTCCTTATGCAGTACCGATTGGTGACGAAAACGAAGATAAGCGTAGCATGCAGGTTCATTCTTTTCTTATTGTACATCATCGGCTTATATCGTTTGCCTAAATGGTTTTAGCTGAGTTCATTCCTTCAATTCATGAACAATAAAAATTCAAATTGGTTTCCGAACATTCATGGTCAAATTTTCGTCGTTCTCCTGAGAGTTATCAAATATACGAGGGAATTTATGATAGAAATTTGATTGTTCTTTGGCAGTCAAGCCTATGGAACAGTAGTCTTGAAGTATTCCAGTTGTTTTTGAGTTTCGACGTAATGTGTTCTCTGATTTTCGTTGCTTTAGATGTTCCACTCCATTGGGAGAAAATTGTACTCATAAATGAGTATTTAAGGCCTGTGCAATGGTTAATAATCCGTCTAGAGATAGAACTGATTAGCAACCAGGTTCTTTGAGAAGTTGGAATAAGAAACATGGTAGAATGTAAGCAGATTATCAGCAGGTTGTAGTAGAAAATATTCAGTGATACAGAAGGTTGACTGTGAGACAGTGTGATGAAGCAATTTTCTGAAATTCATTCAAAGATACGCTCTGATTCGGATTAAAATCTTTTTTATAAATCATGCTCCGATCTGTAGTTTTAATTTGACAAGCAGTCGTTCAAGAAATTTTGTAGTTCGAAGTCGAGGTGTCATTCTGTAGTTGTTATTTCCTTCTGATTATGAAAGCTCGCTCGAATTTCACTATCACTAATTTGTTTCAGGGTACAGCAATATTTTGTCTTTCAACTTTTCAATACCTGACATTAGCTGTAATCTACAGTAAAGGCATTCCATATCGAAAGACAATCTTTAGCAATCTACCACTTTGTCTCAGTTTAGGTGAGTGAAGAAATACATTACTATAGCTTGTGATTTTTTCGTATTTCTATTATATTGTTGAACTGTTTTTATCATGTATACGATTAAGTGCTCTGTGGCAATGGCAGTTTTCTATTGTTCTTGTTCAAGTATAATGAGTGGCTGGTTAAGCAATATTTCTTTTCAAATGAATTAATAGAATATCGAATTGCAGTGGCATTAACAGTAATGTCGATTGTGATTTGTATTTATCCTCCGCCATTCATGGTACCGTTCATGGAATTCGAAGTCTTACCAGAAATTGGCTATCGATTATTTATTCTGATTGTCGCATTTGTTTGTGCTGTTTTTTGTTATCTTTATGAAACTTTCTTCATCGATCATCTTATACTCGACGTTCGAGAAAGGTTTCTATTGTTTTGCAATGTTATTGTTCAGATTTTTGTTTATAGATTATTTTATATGAGATTTTTTTGTATTAATTTCATGAAATAGTTATATCCATAAATGATTATCTGTGTAGTTGATGAAAAGAGGACATTATTTTGTTTGGTGGTTAATTGGTTAATCGTAAGACCGTATTGAAGGTGGCGAAAAGCAAGAGACTTACGAACGGGTTCGTCCCAAATGAATCGTTTCGAGAAGATTCTCCACACGATCGGCGGTGAGCCATCGTGGGTGATCACTGCGACGAGCGCTGTCTCCATTGACGGAGCGCAGACACGCAATTATTGCGTTGATTCAGCGAACGATAGCAGCACAACGGATGTTTGTTTAGAGCATTCTGAGACGATCGAGACGCTTCTGGTGCCTAGTTGTAAGTGTTGAGTGGTTACTGTTCGATTGATTTATTTGCTGATGGTTTTTTTTTTTGTTGCTGATTCTATACAATTGTTCTGTTTTGTAACTTACTGATCACGTTAAATTGATATTAGTGAAAATTTTGTTCACCTGACAGCAGCACAATTGCTAACAGTCAGCGATTTGTTAATTTAATTCAATTTAAGGTTATACAACGCCACCAACTTCACCCCAAAAAAGTGCCCAGAATGGAACCGTTTACGTCAACAACAGTTGTCACTTTGATAATTGCGACAGTCAATTTTATGATGCTAAACAATGATCAGTTTTTTGTGAATATGATCCTCGTTCGTTCGTTGAATATGGTAGGGCAGCAGCGTGTACAGCTGTTGAATAGTCGTTTGATGAATTGCCGATTTTCTTTGAACGGATTTATTTGCATGAAAAGCGTTGGTGAAATATTTTCGTTACGATTAGGGTTGATTATGTAATTTCGTTGTATTTTTGTTTCTGTTTATTCCCGGTGTTCTTTTTTGCACTGCACTGTGTCTTTATTTAGAAACAGTGCAGTGCGACATATTGATAACAGTTCGCTGCAGACGAATCCATCAGCGAACGCTGCACACTGACGATGCATAGTTGAGTAGCTGCTGGGTTGTACATCCGTTTGAATAGTAAACGATTTTCGCTTGAACTGTACACTCGGACGGCGACAGACGGAGGATGCTCTCAATCACTTGAGCGCATCCATTCCAATCACGTCCACGGAATTTCAAAGAAATTCTTGAAAAAGTATCGCAAATAATCAGAGAGAGTGTGTGTGAATTCACCAATCCAACCAACAAGTTGAACTCTCTCAGTACCATATAATTCAGCCTCCACTGGCGTAGCCAGAATTTTTCCAGGGTGATGAAGGCACAAAATGGTCTACCTTCAAAAAAAAACAGCGGACTTTTAGGTTAGTTTCTTATTCTCCCCGTCCCTTTTCCTTTTCCCATTTCCTCCTTTTCATTCTCTCCCTTTTCTTTCAGCCACCAAGGCGGGGAAGACGACCTCCCCCCCCCCTCCAACGTGGACAAATTATTATTTTGGCAAAAGTGGAATCGTTTAAACAAGTTAGAAAAAGGTTGACGAAAAAAAGAAATAGGTAAAAATCCTCAAAAACGAATCTGTGAGGATTTTTTTCGAGAAAGCCTAGAATTTAAATTTTTGTAAAGTTAGCTTAAAATTTCGAGAAAACGCCTTTTTACAAGAGTTAGTTCCGACAAAACAATAACAATTTGTAAACGTTGACTTATATCCGTTTTTAAAAATTGTATTGGCATCACTGTTGTTTTGTCTTAACAAAGCATATACAAAATGTCATTGTCTGATAGACATGTTCCAGGCGGGATATAGATTTGAAACCCTAGAACAACTACGCTCTGTGTGTGTTCTGATATTAATAAAGATGATAAAATATGAGGGAGGTAACTAGGTAAAGTGATACCACTGAACAACGAACGGGAAGTAGGGTCTGTACTGGGTGATTTAGTAATCAGCCAAAGAAGTAAGATGCTTTATGACGAGATGTGTATTTTTGTTTAATGTTGTTAATTACTGGATGGTTATTAATTGATGTAATTTGTCAATATGCTTTTGCCTTTTTTTTCATGTTCATATCACATATAATTACTCTTACGCCGTATGCCCCGTGCTGTGCTGTTCTGGTTTGTTTTGCTCAAAGGGTTCTATTTCAGTGTGGTAATTGTCGACGACTGACTATGGTCAACTGTTCCTCTATAATTTAAGGATCTATTTGTATTATCATCACTAATAAAACATGGTAATATTGTTAATATTTAGTGTGCTGTTTAATTTGCAATTCATTTGCATTATACTGTTGTCGTTCCATTAACGTAGTGTAATGAGAAGACAGATTTAGATATTTATTCATGAAGGAACTAACAATGGTTGAATTTGTTCGTTACGTATTCAAGGATTATTTTGAATATTTAAGCGAGACCGCTCTTTGGATACCTAAATAGCAACAAATCAAGTGACAGTCATGTCATACCTATTCGTTTCATTCATTCTTTTCTTCCAGTAAAATATAGAATTTATTGATTGAATTCATTCGTAATCGTGAGTTTTTTGGCGAAACAGACACGAAGTCGATAGTAGTTTCAGTGATAACAACTACAATAAAAGGACAATATGAAGAGTAATAGCGAGACGACTCAAACAAGAAAGTCGAAATGAACAAGAAACAAATCATGTGCGAGTTGGCATAATGTGTTTAACATATATTCATGATTTTATTGTATACTGCATTTACGGTTGATACCTTGAATTCAATTTTTTTCGAGGAGACTGACTAGAGGAACAATATTCGAAAAAAACTTGGTGTTATTTAGCAAATGGCCAAAAATAAAATGTTTGGCCTATTAAGGTGTTCGGTGACAGTAGATAATTTATTTGATGTATTCACATTTCGAATATTAGATGGCACCGACAGACGTTGAATGGTCACAGCAAACGAATGCAGGCAGATCTTTAATGAACAGAGACAATTAACAATCGTCTAGTTTAAATCGTGTGCTACCCGCAGTTGTTAACAATATCACTAGGGGCACATCTTGACACGAAACTGAACGCTTAATCACTAGCGATCTCGAAACAACACTAAAATTACTACTCACCAGGTAAAAAGCACAATTTTAATCACTGAAACCGGACAAACGAATTTCAACGGACATCCTAAAAACACTATCACGTTGTGGTTATTGTTGACGTTATCAGTCAACAATAACCACATTGATGGTTATTGGTTACAAAGCGATAAAATAAAACAAATGTGGTGAACAACGACGAGTTTCCTTCATACAGACAGACACATTTCGCCGTTAACAGTATCACGATGCGCTAATGCTAGGCAAAGCGAAATAAACAACAAGCGAATAACAACGATTTGAGACAAATAACAAAATGCATATTTTGTTGAAAAAAAGGGCTATAGAATGCGGCTATAGAATGCCCTGTTATTGCCCTTTAGTACAATGCCCATTTATTCTACTCCTAGTATACAATTATAATGATCAAACTTTCTCATCTAATATGTCATGCTCAGCCTAAATATCCACCTGTTTAGATGATAAAATAACATCTTAGGCAGCTGCTGAAAAATAATAACTAACTTATTGTAAAATCAGTGTCAGGTGGGCCCATGAAGATACTACAGGGTGAGGCAAACGAACCAGACACATTTCTAGGTGTAATAAAATGCCAACAGAACGTAGAATCGACGAACCAAATCTGCATGTCATTAGGCTTCATTTTATTCCGTTTTAAAAAGTACATCAAACAGATGGTTGTATTTTTTCGAAGAAGACAATGTTACAGTGACTGTTACCTCAAAACGATAGATATTATGTGTTGCTGGACACTTTTTTGAGACCAAGATTGGAAGACCTTGATTGAGGAAAGAAATAATGTTTGGTTTCAACAAGATGGTGCAACAGTCCACACTTTGAGACGCCCGATGAAAATGTTGCGAAAGATGTTCCTCGATCATTTGATCCCATTGCGCGGTAATATCGGTTGGACTTTCAGATCGCTTGATTTGATTCCGTGTTTTGGTGTTTTTCTGCGGGGATATTTAGAATCAGAAGTTTACAATCACCGCCCTCGTTTTCTCCATCAATTGAAACATGCCATTCGGGTAAGAATTCTTGCCATTCTATGTCACATGATCAATCGAGTTATTGAGAGCTTTCAAAAACGTTTTAATCAGTGTGTGGCCAATAACGGAAAACATTTGTTTGATGTACTTTTTGAAACGAAATAAAATAAAACCTGATTCATTATACATTCCATTGTGCTTCTATTACACTCAGAAATGTATCAGATCATTTACCCCCACCCTGTACTTCACAAATAATGAGTCACTAGGTTCCTATCAAATAGATCAATCAGTATAAACCTTGTTTGAAAGATTCACAAACAAATTTGTGAATAGAATCAACGTTAGAAACGCACACACCTTAACACAACAGCATACACATCAGTCTGTTGCAATACACCAATTCATTCAATTATTCAAAGATTTGTCTGCGAATTAACTGGGACAATATTAAATTTGCACTTTATAGGATATATGTAAATGAATCATCAAGAGATCGATCAGTCAGCCACCATATCGTTGTAAATGAAAAGCACAAACAAACGACTTCATGCCTCCTTCTTTGTTGGTACAACCAAAAAAAGCTTTTGTAGACTTAACGTTAAACTGTCTGAAATTGAATGAACAATAAACCAACCGTTCCTGTTAACACAAAGTACAAAGAAAAGAAATGAAAAAAAACATTTGGATTATTCCTTTGATGCGATTGTGACAATTCGATGAACCGATCAATTGGAAATGCTCACGGGGTTATTCATTCACTCACTGAGCACGAAACTTCAGTAGAGCTACCCGATAACCCTATCAGTATCGTTTATCCATTAACAAGTGGTTAAAAACAGAATGAAACTACTAATAAACTTCGTGACGACATAAAATTAAACGCACCCATGAAATTACCGATGCAAGGCACTTTACCGGCCCAATGAACAAACAAGAAATACACGGGGATACCACTTAGCATAATGCTAATGCCGATTGCTANAAACAACATTTATCTTTTCATACGTTTGAGAGATTGATTCTACGAAAGCAACGGAATATTAGTGCACACAAATACTAAGTTTCAAGTGTCCAAAATCTAGCACTTTATCAGGTGATCCTTTGAAAATGAAAAGCATGAATCTAAAAAATTTACGACAGTTAAGCAGGATGAAAGTGCGTTCATTTCAAAGAGTCATAACTGCTCGAATTCAATAATTTACCTGTATCAACAGGGGCTTGATAAATTGGGAAAACGACCAGGAAAACACAACCAGCCAAGAACAAGAATGGCCAAAAAAGGTTCACTTGAAGCGGTCGAGGGTAGTCTTTCGGGGGTTGCTTCACTCTAAATTCATGCATATGTTCTGCATTTCATATTCTTATATTCATCTTAAATTCAACAAATGCTGGCAAATACTCACAATCAAACATAAACTGTTCAAAAGTTGGTAACGAAAAACAAACAAATATGCGGATTATTTGAAAGAAGAAATAACTGCTGATAACAGAAACGAAAATATCAACACTAGCAGTAAATGAGTTAATGAATAAATCCGCACCAACCTCAAATAAAGCAGTCCAAGTGTTGCAATTCCAATCGCAAGCCAATTCACAATTTGAACGTAATTGATCAGTGTGTATATGTTATCTGAGAGCAACAAATAACACATCGACAAAAGAGCCTGCAATTAAACATGTCCCGGACTTTTTCTACAAGTCTTTGCAAAATCCCGTTTGCCGAACATTATGAAACGAAACGGACAAATCCTCAAGTAGAAGAAAGCAATCTTCGAATGATGATGACTGATGGGAATTTATCATAATTTTACCGTGAAAAGAACCGCTGGAATTGGTGTGTTCAAATAAGGGTTGATATAGCTCAATACTCGTGGCATATGTTGCTGGCGACCAGCGACGAAAAATAATCTGCAAATAGTTAGTAACTGTATTACTACAATTATTGTACATCGTACCTCGATGAGGTGCATACTATAATATGTGCATTCTATAATCATTCTCACATACCTCGATGATGTGAGCATAACACCATTCACTGTTCCAAAGCATGAAAATGCCACCAACACTGGCATAATCCACGCAAAAATACCGTAAAATCTATTCGCGAAATCCACAGCGATCGCATTCGATTCCAGCAATTCGTCAGGTGATGTTCCTGAAATTTCACGTCAAAAGTCGACTTTCTCAAGAGATATCTTGTGATTTCGTCGAACGAATGAAATAGTATCGGCAGAAACAATTACTTGTCAGACGAGAAAAATAGTAAAATTAGAAGAGGAACAACCAACCTGCATAGAACGCCACATTCGCAAGGCAGTACACAAGCGTACAGATTGTACAACTGATTGCAATTGCACGAGGTAAATTTCTATAAGAAAGTGGAATATAAACAAATAAACTTATACAACTTTCAGCTCATAATAATAGGCATGTTCCTCAAAACCGTAGAACAATTAATCCATACAAACACTCAATATTTCGATGCTTTTTACCATTGAATGTTAATCTCAACGATACGAATATTGTTGCAATATCACTTATCAATAAATTTGTTGCTGAAATTTTGAGCATATAGGTGTTCTGAAATATGCGTTACATTTAGATCAGGCTTGGGCAATTCAAAATCGTTCGCTGACCAACTGTAGCAGAAAAGGTTGAGGGCCACAAACAAAAACAAAAACACTGCTTGAATATGGAGAATTTTACTATGCTTTTATAACAAATGCTATGTTATTCTCGTCGACAGATGCCCAATGTTACTTTAGATCCTAAATACTATGCTTTCTTTAGGAATTTCTTGTCGGCAGAAGCTTTCATTTTTTGCAATTCTCAACGAAATTTGTGGATCAGCCTCGACGATACTCGGATTTTGCTTACAAATCAGAGTACTCAGCAGCATATTTTGTTTGAGCTTCTATATTAGACTCAGATCACGACAGCTCCATCTTTACATAATTTGATGACAAGCGCTTCCAAACAAGCGTACGAAATCCAGTGATGTGTCGAAGCTCATTCATAATACGCACGACAATGGTGAACCAACCGCATATTGCGATTTTCAAATATGGTTTGCGAAGAGTTCGAATTTCTCGTAGACCACCTGAGTGGTTCGTGGAAAACAGGTTGGGTAGTGCTTAGAAAGAGAATGGTATTGATAAAGTGTGCGTTACTTGGTTGGATTAATCAGTTCTTCAGTGATAAAGTTCAAATAATTCCATCCGTTGTAAGCCCATAAGCCTGAATAGAACGCGAGCGCAATACTTCCAGGTTCGAATTTACTTCCTTCCCATAGATCTTCGAACGAGTCGTGATAAGCTGTAAAAATAAGCGACACTTTTTGAAGAAAAAAATTTTAATAGAATCGATGAAATAGCAAACTTTACGACATTTGATAATGTTAATCACCAGTGTAATAATTTGAATGCAATTTACTGATAAGCTAACCATTACCGCAGCTAAAAAGCAAATACAATAAAAAAATGACTGATCTTGAAACCAGCGAATATCACAAAAAAAAATCAGCGCATTATTATTATCATTGGATGGCAGGTAGTAGTGACGATAACTGAATGAAATTTAGGTTCGATCGAAATACGATCAATTCCATTTTTCAGAGTTCCAAAGTTTGCACTCCGACCGAATTCCATCGGGTTCTTCGATCGACCTTCAGTCGGTTATCATCTCCAACACGCAGCATGCTGTCATTTTTAATGTATTGTTAGCAAAGCCGTAAAAAGTTATACTTAAAACTACTCACGATTTCCGTATAAAAGAAGTATAACTCCAGTTAATATGATCAATCCGAGTGCAGCTAATTTTGCGACGGTGAAGAAATTTTGCACGAACGTCGTAAAGCGGACACTTAGACAATTCACTAATGCCAACAGAACTGTAAAATGTAATGATTACTCATCAATTAAATTCTTGGCTATCTCAATATGAATCGACAGATAGGTATTATCTTAATTCGGTATTATTTCAAGTTCGTTTCTTTCATCCTACTTTCCAACTGTCGACATTTTTTGCGAGATGCAAATTCAAAAAGTGTAAAATTATTGAACTTTTCTGTTTTATTATTGCTGAGAGAAACTCCTCGACAACACCGTAAATGTCTCGTTTTTTCTTTCATTTTTATTTATCATATTTTTTTCTCATTTTCAAATTATCTACTTTAACTGATAAATTAAGTGTCAACCAATTGTACTTGCACTCACTTATACATCCGGCAGCTAGCAGTTGTGGAGTGAGGAAAGGAACAGCACAAGTGCTAAAGAACGGTTGAAGAATATAGGTGGCAAATGTGATCGCGACCGCAGTGATTGTACACGGCCTCACAATGATGCACTCGATCCACATTCTTAAGAAGCCCATCAACGGTCCGAATGCAGCCAACACATATGCATAGTCACCGCCAGACGATCGAATGAATGTACCCAGTTCGGCATAACAATAGGCACCGACCGCAGAAAACGCACCGCAAATCACCCAAATTATCAGTGACCACCCCACCGAGCCGGCATCTGCAAAGTATTCATCGATTACCACTTATATGATGTATAAAACTGATAATCAATAAAAAAAACTGATGCTTACTCTCATGAACTCCTTTTGGAGAGATGAAAATGCCTGATCCAATAATGCATCCAACAATAATCATTACACCACCGAAAAGATTTATGGTTGGTTTCAGTCCAACATCCTGGAATTGTCGTTGAATGAATACAAATAGATGACAACAATTTCACTGTTTGCTACACTGAACATTGAGGGATTAATAACGAAATGGTGCTGTTCTAAGCACAACACAATTTCAACTGACACAGCACACAAATACCACAACATGATAATGGGGACATAAGTCAGTAAACAAACTCTACTGAGAAATAATTTCACATCAGATGGTAATTCTTCGATGTTTGAAACATCATCTTATACAAAAATGAGCGAGTATATAAAACTCTGAATATTTAAGCAAGTGAACGTCAACTGATTAAACCAACACTAAGCAAACTTATTTATCGATCCAAAAATTTTACACTTCTGGATTTTTTTCATCAACAATCCACTGTTATTGCGCAACAATACCAAAAAGTTGCACTTTGCATTCAATCGGATGGAAGAGGATTACAGTAATTTCGAAGTCTCACTTGATCTTGTTCGTCAGTCGGTGATAGATAAACTGGTCGCTCTTCATCGTCTCCTTTCGCTACGGTCATTTTCGCAATTGTGTATGTGTCCCAGGTAACTGGAATCACAAATATTTCACTTGTCACAGCGATCGATTATTCAGATTATTTAATTTGATGAAGAGTCGAATCAACCAGAGACTATCATCAAATGGGCGATGCAGTTGAAATACGGACGGACGTGCGATAGATGAATGAAGCGTAACGAAACAAAGGCAGCAACATCCACTTAATACAACAACAGATATCTTATTCATGGATGTATCGTGACGAATTAATAAACTGAACCGAAAATTATTCAGTCAACTTCAACAGAACAACATGACATCGTTGCGGTTTCAAGAAAATGAATGCCTGAACATATTCGAAGGTACCAGATATCATCATCGCTACAGCACCATTACTATTAATAAATAACAATCAAATATTACTGTACGAATATACAAAAAGCAGCCAATTAGGCGTTTATAAACAATAAAGAAGCATGAAAAGAAAGAAGTAAGGGAAGCTAAATTGAATTAAACTGAACACTACTCAACAACAGGGTGTTGATCTACGAGATGTGCTGTGACTTGATTAACATTTTGTAATCGAAACATATTGAAACGACAATATTATAATCAATACCTACAAATCTACGGAATCGAAACAACTGATCTACCTACAGACATAAATAAACACCAGAATCAATAAACAATTTGATTCGTCGATTCGAACAGATCCATCTTTCGAACGATTGATTTATCAACAATCAAACGCGAATGCGACGATATCGAAATGAATAAGTAACCACACTTATTACATCAACATCAGCAGCAATTCTTGAAATACCGCTATTTTTGTCTCAACATCAAGAATCGTTTGTTGCCCACTGAACAAGCAGCAAAATCAACGAAATCGAAGTATAATAGAAAGAATGACTAGATTACGATAAAGATGTGCTGTAATCGATCAGCATCGCTAGTAGTGAGATACTACAGCCCGCAACCATCCGATCTTTCAGCCATCTCACAAACCATCATGAACCGAGACGAGAACGTAGCAGTATCAGTTAGTTGCAATCGAAGCACTATCGAAAGACCAAACAAATCAAAACACTTTAAGAATAATATCTCCTTCTACACTTTACAGGTACGTGATGAATGTGATGTGCGTATGCAATAAATATTGTGCATACATTATTCTCATTTACATAAACAATGAACGATAAATGTTTGCTTGAATAATCGATCATGACATATTTTTAGTATGTAGAAAAGGCAAGTATTTCGGGGTGCTAGACAACACTTTTCGAATTGCAAATGTTTTTCTTTTGTTCGCTACTGCTATTGTAAGGGAAAGTTAAGAATGCAATAAATTTTAAAACGTTTTTACTTAAATGTTTTTTGAGTAGAACTAATCAAGCAGCCAACCAACACATAGCAAAGCAAAAATAAAGAATAAAACATCAAGAACAATCAAAATGCTGATTGCTTATTTGAGGTCGTAATCAACTTCACTGATAACAACTCGTTCCCAATGCTGTCTGTACTTCAGATCAGTAACCATCCACCAAAAAACGCGAATCACCATTGAGTGCTTCAAAAGAGACTCAGTCAAAATGAACGAACGTTAATCAAGTGAAAAGGGAACACACTTACATTTTTATTATAGACAATTGGTGAGATTGATTGGTGATGAGGATGACGATAGTACAATAATACTTCTAAACTGCATGAAATCTTCGTGATTATGAACAAAATTTCAATTTAAAGATCATTCATCTTGATCATCTGCTTAGTTAGTGAATGACGATTGATTATTCCGAAATCACTTTTGATTCAGAGACGGTTTTTCGAACGCTTCAATCGATCAATTGAATCAATATTTAAAGTTGAATTGACTGCTTGTTGGAAAGAAATTCAGCAAAAAATGATGTGGGGTTAAATCAATGAGAGGTTCACAAATCAATTGCATCATCAAATATGTTCAATCGTCGACGGTATTGGTGTTGATGCACTGATTGCTTCAAGTGAAAAAAATGCGACTGACTGTAAAAGAATTAATTATTTCAGTGGAACGAATACATGAATGAACGAAACCGAAGACAAGCATGGGAACAAATCAACGAAGAAAGAAAATGAAGAATGCACCATAAAATGTAATGACTGGCAAAGAAATAAAATTATATCACAACTGCAAACAACGTGTGAAAATTTCTTATCAAAAATGCTAACCAAAACGACTCAAATACTTCACTTCTATCGCATTTTAACGGATTTTTGAAACACGCATCATAACATTAATCGGCTCATGTATAATACTATCACGCGTTCCTTAGCACTACGCAGTAAAGCGCAATTACAAAGCTTAATTTCCTATACGTTGGCAATTTCATACAATCGTTTCATAGTTGTTTCTCTTTTCATTCAACCGAAATTTAATAATGCTATTCATTATGAAGAAACTGAATCGTTCGGTTTAAACAACATTTGTACAGCTCATCCCACTCCTAACTAGCTAATTGTCCGTTGCTTCCTTCTCGAATAAAAACAAACGAATATCATCCCCATCAATTGCGCCAACTATACACTGCTGCTATGTGTTGCTTCAATAAATGCCGTTCGTTGCTACATGAATGAACGAATGGAAATGTATTTTTGAGTGCAATAAATTGCAATCTGTCATGATCGCAGCAATGAATGTATAATGTAGCAGACATTATTATTATTGTTATCATTACCATCAGCTTTGTGTACGGCATCTTGTGCAAAGGGACAGTCAAACGAATGAGCGATATCAGTAGCATTTAAAATAACGTTATAATGCACAACATGATGCAACAGCATCACTTTATTGCATCACCCATAATTCACGAGCTAAAAAAATGAAAAGCACGCTAATCAAAATGCACACTCTTCCGATACAATCATCGCACTAAATTAATCACTCACACGATATATTTAAATTTAAAAATCCACATTATCATGAATGAAATAAAAGCAACGCTTCTGAACGTAATGACAATAAACACTCGGCTGATCGCTGTGTGCAATCAGCAGTGCTTATTATTATTATTTGGCTGTGATTATTTATGCAAACCATTTATGATGCCCAGTCTTTATTGTTGATTAGTTCTGAACTTACTGATTTGTTGATCGCTAGCGATTTATTCCGTTACAAAGATTATATCATAATTTATTAATGATATTAAGAAATAAAACTGATTGGTTCAAGACTCTCGTCTGTTCCGAACGATTACTTCGTGCGATTANCATAATGGAACAACAGCTCTTCTTATACGTGAGTGAATCAAAAACATCTTTCAAAATTTATTATACAGTAAATCACAAATAAAATTACTTAGTTTTATTATATTTCAGCACAAAATTCATTTATCGTTTGTTGAAAAATGGTTTATTTGTTGGGACGTTACTATGCATAGCAAGAAATCCATTTCATCATTCTGTATTTAAGCGCCAAGTCAACTCACTCGTTGAGTTGGTCATCTTACAAAGCTTTCGATGTGCATCCAGCAGAAAGCTCTAGGTCTTCAATCACAACTGTTTGGACTAAATCAAGCGAGATCAAGAATTCATGCGCTGCACTCTCGAACGTTGCTCTACTGTCTCCTTCTATCAGCCGCTGAACTGTGGTAACGGTTCTTCAGGACAACGCTAACTGAATCTACACAGATTATTATTAATATTCTCGAATGAAAATTTCGACAGTGGGAGGGAGAGAAATCACCACATTCATTTTCAGTACAAGTATTAGACAACGTCGTTGGAATATCAAACGCATCATAAAGTGCTATAGATAATAAATGTCACAAATTTGGAAGGCGAAAAAGGAGGACATTCTGAAGAAAATAAATTTTGCAAGAGGACAAAAATGAACAAATAAGTAAATTTTGGAGATTGATCACAATGTAACGTAACAACAACACAAACTGTTTAGATAAATTTTCTTGACGACGACAACGCAAACATAATTCGCAATGGAAGTGCATAATCACAGCAATCAGCGCAAATGCATCAAAGAAAAAAGTTTAAGCTGGAACAAGCCTGTCTGTTTTAAGAGTTGAAGAAACAAGACTATCTATTTGGTAACAAACGATGGAAGGACAATGTGAAAAAAGATTCGTTTTGGACATTGTTGGTTCATGATCCTATGATAAGTTGGTTTGTTATAGTGTTCGGGAAGGAAGCCTTTACGCAGAGGGAGGCGGCCAGACGATTCCTGATAAATCATCTCTCCCGCAGGTGCATCCGCGGGAACGAGGAATTCCTCAAGTGGAAACCCCCCCCCCCCCCCCCCCCCCCCTCCCCACCCCCCAAGGGATTTTGAAGCCACCGCAGGGACCTCCCACTCTTTGTTCGTACCTTGGAGAGCATAATTTTTTGACGTTTTTTTGAGTATTCTTCGATCATGATAGAGTAGACATCTCTAAGCTACTAGTCGTGGCGATAAAGCGTTCAGAGATTTTCCGTCGGAAGATGACGAAAGATTATCGTTAGGGGATAAAAAATCTGACCATTGTATCATCGAGACCTACGCCATGGAGTAGTCAGTGCAACTGAACGAATTGATGTGTGGTAGAATGTGAACTGGAAAGGCAAACCACTATTCGCTGTGCGGTGTAAAAAATCAGAATTGACTTTCTATGGCCCTTACAATTAGTATTGGTGCAGCATTTGTTCTGCTCTTTCTTCATCACTGGTGTTGTAGTTTTGACAGACTTTAACCAGTAATGCCCAAATTTGAAAATATTGACACTGCTCCACAATTTTGAAACCTCAACTCCAAATCTGGCTCGATTTTTTAAAAGAAATTTCGTCTCCAGCTCCACATCCAGCTCAGGAATTCTAAAATTCCAGTTCTCTTGCTCAGGAAAAAGCTTATCGTGTAGGTTTTAACCTCGACAACTAACGGTTGCTGCGATATTTTTTGATGGAGCCAAAAAAGATTTTTTTGATTCCGGATGTTGGGTATAACTACGCACAAAACTTATTTTATGAAAAATAAGTGAATTATAACGATGAATGACT